ATTTTGGGTCATGTAATCAACAGGAAAGGGATCAAGATGGATCCAAACAAAGTTGACAGTATCGGGAACTGGAAAATCCCCACAAATGCATCCTTGCTGCACGGATTTTTGGGAGCCGTAGGGTACCTAGCACCGAATTGCAGAGGAATCCGCATTCCTATGGGTGTACTAACCCCATTGATGAGTGCCAATAGGATTTGGAAATGGGACGAAAGACAGCAACGAGCGTTTGAACAAATTAAAGAGATTGTTCAGAATCACCGCGAGATACACAGAAAGCCACTGGATTACTCCAAGAACGCACCTCCAATAAACCTAATTACAGATGCCTCCCTGACTGGAGCAGGAGGAGTGCTAAGTCAAGGAGGAGACCTGGAAACGGCCCAGATAGCCTGCTTCTGGTCTGGGAAGTTTACACCAACACAACAGAATTACCCTGTCCATGAGCGAGAATTGCTGGCAGTAATTGAATCACTAAAGCGCCTGCGTAACCAATTACTCGGTTGCAAGTTTAGACTATTTACGGACCACAAACCACTGGAATTCCTTAAGTCCCAACGGAATTTGTCTCAGCGCCAAGCTCGTTGGCTAGATGCACTAAGTGATTTTGATTTCACCATCAATTACTTACCAGGAAAGAGAATTCATTTTCAGATTCCCTGTCTCGCATATACAGCAGCGAGCCTCCGGGGACAGTACGTGCGTCTTCCGAATTCGTGTCAGAAACATTATCCGAAAATGAGAGTGACGAGGATGTTCCTGGGCAGGCATTTTACACAGCTCCTGTGGTCACGGGGCCCGCCGCGATACAAACGCGGAAACTACGAGCCCGGCCTCCACCCAAAGGAAAGGTCAGGAAGGATCCCAGTATCGCAAATGGTCGGAACGACCCAGAGGAATCATCAGCCGTCACACAAGAGAGCCTACAGGAGAGTCCTGAAGAGAAAGTGAAAATCCGAATCAAAGTTCCAAAGCACATGCAAAAGAATCGCGAAACGGAGCCTGTACGATCAATGAACTCGAGATTGGATCAAATCCACTCAGAATTACAATCCGAAAACGCCGAAACACCACCAGGACTCATACCTCTGGTATCAGATTCGGAACCGGGTCTCAAATTACCAGAATTCATTGCAGATAAGTACAGACAAGACATCTTCTTTGCCAAAATCCTAGAAAATCCAACGCACTTCCCGAATTTCTCAGTTATGAAGAATGCCGACAACGAAGCTTTGATTTTTATGAGAAACGGCCAATTTACGGTATTGTGTATTCCAAATGTGACGTTTGGTTCTCGTTCTTTGCGCGAGATCATCATATCGCATGCACATTCGATTCTAGCACACTTAGGTGCTGAGAAGACTCAGCTCTACCTGCGACGACATGTCTGGTGGAAAAATTTGCTACAGAGCACCCGAAAATTTTGTGCTTCATGCCCAACCTGCGCCAGAACAAAATCACGTACAACCGCTCCATTTGGTCTCCTGAAAACATTGCCAATCCCTTCTCAACCATGGGAATCCATTGGGATCGACTTTGTCTGGCCAATGCCAATCTCAAAGACGCGGCATGGCGCCTTTGACATGATCTGCACAATCATAGATCACTTCAGCGGGATGGTACACCTGGTTCCCACAGTTCAAACCTATACAGCGCGCGACATGGCAGAGGTCTTCTTTGATTCAGTGTATAAGTTGCACGGACTGCCACAACGAGTCGTGAGTGATCGCGACAGCCTATTTACTTCAACGTTCTGGACAGAATTGCATAAATTAATAGGTGTAGAACTCCGGCTGTCTAGCGCTTACCACCCTGAAACAGACGGCGCCACAGAACGAGCCCACCGGACGATAGGCCAGATGCTGAGACAGGCAGTGTCTCATAGCCAGAAAGACTGGGCTTCTAAATTACCGGTAATCGAACTAGCAATCAACATGTCGACTTCCGATAGTACAGGTTATTCACCATTTGAATTGAATGGGATCCGACAACCAAACCCGTTGCTCATATCACACGAATCACCATATCCTGGTATCCGGACGGTAGCAAGAAAAATGGCATCAGTCACTCTTGATGCACACGACGCTCTGATCGACTCAAGAACAAATCAGACTTGGATTACCAACAAACATCGAAAAGAGGTGCCATTTAAAGTAGGCGACCTCGTGTATTTGTCCACAGAGAACCTTAACTTAGGTAAAGGGAAATCACGGAAACTGACGATGAAGTTCATTGGCCCACTGAAGATCATCAGAGAGGCGTCACCGGGCGCGAGCTTCGAATTAGAATTATCAGACGAGTTGAAAGAACGAGGAATACACCCGGTATTTCATTCAAAATTGTTGCGACCTCATATTCCTAATGATGATATCTTATTCCCGAGCAGGAAAATTGATAACTACGTGGGGCTAGGAGCGTCTGAAAATTCATTTGTCAGGCGAGTCATGCGACATGATGGACAAGGAAAAAACGCCAAGTTTTTCGTGCAGTGGTCAAACGGCTCGACCTGCTGGGAACCATACTTAGTGCTACGCGGAAGAGCAGCACTGGATGATTACTTAAACATATTGGGAGTGAGCATTTCGAATTTGAAACAGGATGATTTACCGATATCAGACATCACTAAAAGTATGAAAGGACTATCACTTGCGACGATATCCTCAGGACCCGTTACCCACTCGTCCACCCCCCAACACTCCGCACCACCGAACTCAGTTACTCAGAACTTCTCACCAATGTACACGCCATATTCGCACTTCGTTGTTCCCCCCGTCGATTCCAATAATGACGGAGGTATCAGGCCAAGATTCAAACTCGTTCCGAGCATGACTGCAAAGGAATACGCTGCGGTCTGTCGCTATCTAGCCTTGATAGAAGCAGGTAACAGCGAACCCGGACCTGAGCCAAAGTACTGGCAGGACTGGGTTGAGATCAATGGACTCGCGAACGTCATCCTGAGTGCCATTGAGAGCCATGCCTTGCATTCCCCGTTCTTGGAAGCGCAAGCTATCTTGAATTCCGGAACGGTGATCGGAGCCACCGACAGATACACACGTCCACCAGGTCCTGGATCGACTGGCCGCTGGGGCCGAGGCAGACCTCGTCGTGGTCCATCAAGGCCTTATGGCCCTTACGAACGTCGTGGACGAGGACGCGGCCGTTACATGAACTACGGACCAAGGTTCAATATGGAGATACCTAACCCAACTCAACCCAGCGGTAGTACCATGCCCTACCCTTTCGGACCCACGCGCATGCAAGACGAGTTGGATAACCATTTTTCAAATCAACCTTTCGTCGCTGGACCAGCTTCTCCGTCTCTTTCAAGCGCGATAGAGCACTTAAGCGAGTTGTCGATGGTCAATTTGCAGAACGAAACCACCGAGGCGGTACAAGGTTCTGAAGGTTCATCGAACCCGCAGGTTAATCATTAAGCCCCTCGTAAGTCAGGAATCGAATTTCTCTATGCATTCTTAGGTCTATATATCCAATCATTTGACTAACACCAGTTCTTAGATACGAGTAGCCAGTCCTCGCAGGAGGGCGAATGTAAGCGGTGTGCTTACATAAGTAGTCTGATGGATATATATACCCGTCCAAGTTTTGTTAGTTAGACAGAACCTCTTGTATTTACACCCGTAAATCAAGCCCTTTTGGACCTGTGACTCTCTCAGTAACCTAGCGAGTTCGTTAATCCTTAAGGACTTAGCCATCGGCGACAGCCGATCTCGAGGTTCCTCACAGTTGCCCACCCCCAATTCTAGGTTTACCACCTAGTGATCAGGCTAACTCTTCCACATTGACTGCCGTATAAACTGGCACTATGGGCGACGAATATGCCCCATCGTCCTCTCAACATGTTGTCCCTGAACTATCTCCAAGTGACACCCAGTCGTCGCATCCCTCACTTCAAGTGGTGCCACCCCAGATTTCTGTCACCGGAGATCGAACGGACCAAATCACTGGCCACGATCGGAATCATGAATCGGAGGGATCCCGCCTTCGGCCTCCCGGGGGCCATTCACGATCTCCCAGTAGTTCCAGAGATCCGAGGCAACTGGTATCCAGGGCCTCGCAACGCCTAACGCGGTTGTTTCGCAGGAGCCCAAGTCCCTATTCTGAACCACAGAATGTCTCGCCTCCCGAGGAATCTAGTCTGGCAACAACCACTCGTTCATCTCCCCATATTTCGAAGCTATCGTTATCTCAGCCCTCATCCCCAGATAATTCTCATTCAGCTCACCCAACACGCACCAATTACGGACCAAGTTTAGCCGTCCGTACGAAACTGAAGCGCGCAGATGTGGCCATCAACTTGCCTTCATCGGGGTCGCTGGCCGCCACGGTCCCTGTCAGCGATGGGACGAAAACAGTTATCAGCGCCACAAAATTTATGCTCCAAAACGCATCATCTGCTCTCAAAATATCCCCTATTCCATACGCCAGCCAAATTACAGACCTTCTTCTTACATTGCTCCAAGCATACGAGGTGTGTAACGTTTGATTTTGTCGAAGTTAGTGATCGGATGTCGCTTACATTTTGTTTCTATCCGACCAGACTTTTGATAGCAATAATGAAAGTCTCGAGGGCTTTATCGATGACATCAGGAAGGCTTACACCATCATCTTGCGGCCACTCGAACTGTATTCTGGCCAAATTCCTCGCGAATTGATTGCTCCGCTCAAAGAACTTCACTCGTACGTTGTATAGTACCTCTCCTTTGGTCACTCAGGGAATCTCCAAGCTAATTGATAGTGCATTGCAAAAACAAACCGACCGCATCAAATCCCTCAAGAGTCGAGGGTCCGTAATGAGGTTCGTGACGGGGACAAATATCGCCAAGATTATAATCGACGTGAAGGAGGGTCTCAATAAGGCAATTGTTTCATTCTCGGTTTGTAAATTTTTCTTTCGAGCGTTGAATGTTGGCCGGCTCAATGACTTTACAGGCGGAGGCAACGACGTTGAACCTCCTTCAGACAATTCAGTCATCGATACAATGTTCGTCTATACATTCCTTAAAACTCCCCCCGCTAACACACTTCCAGCGGAGCTGTCGAGGCTGAAGCCCGCCCCTGCCGAGCACATTCATGTGAAGAGCAAGTCAAAGTGCCTCCCAACCACACAAACCAAGACACGGAAATTAATTCTCGATCATCTGGAAGACGCCAAGAACCGATTCGTCTGGTTACGGGGATCTCCTGGGACGGGGAAGACTGCTATAGCTATGAGTGTTGCATCCACCCTCAAAATGCAAGGCACTCTGGCAGCCTCCTTTTTTTGGGATAAAAACCAGACTGGATTGGGCCTTGATTCTACTAAACAGTTCCCATCCACGCTTGCACATCAACTCGCACGCTTCAATGAGGACTTCAAGATGTCACTTGTTAGGTGCCTTCGGCAGCCCGATCTGGAATTTGTTCAGGATCTGCCTCTGGACAAGCAAATGGAGTCTCTTGTTCTCGAGCCTATGTATAATCTTACCGTGGTACTGCCAGGTCGCCCTGTCATTGTCCTCGATGGCTTGGACGAGTGTGGAGATCTAGAAGCACTCAAACATCTGATGGAGCTTGTCCTTATCCTTGAAGGGTTGCCAGCCACATTTGCAGTATTCGTCAGCTGTCGTCCGGAGTCAGTGGTTATGTCAGCTTGGGCTGAAGCTCGGGAACGGGGCCTTGTCATACCATGTGAAGATCTGGACACAAATATGGAGGAGAAGTACCACACAATCCACTGCATGGTGGAGGATGGCCTTCGAGATTGTATCAAGAAGTCTCAGTGGAAACCTTCGAAGGAAGATCTCCATGCTTTTACTTTGGCTTGTCATGGATTGCCTGTTATGGCCTCAATCCGAATTCGTGATGTCATGTGGTGGACTGAGCATGGCCGCACCCTGCAGAGGGAGTTTCAGGACTTGCTCAATCTTGTTGAGGCACCCATGGATCTGAACTCGGAGTACTTGCGAATACTCCGAAGAGCCTATATGCGTGGTTCATCTGCAGTTCCCCTGGATATAGCCAAGATGTATCACCTGTTGGTTGGAACAATTATTGCGGCACGTACACCCCTGAGTGTATATTCTATGTCGCAGCTTTTAGGGATTCCCATGGATGAGGCCCAAGCCACATTACAACCGATCAGCTCAATCATTGAACTTCCCTTGGAGGACATGGGTGTCAAATTCTATCATGCAACGGCACAAGAATTCATAACAGGGAATCCAATTGGTGATGAAAATGACAAAATATTTTTTATCAATGACAAGAAAGGATATTTTCTTGGACCACTACTCCTTCAAATTCTCAATAATTGTTGCAAGGAGAATATACCCACTGACCCTCTCAGTGACAAAAAAAAATGGGTGGATTTTAAATTGAAGTGGGAACAACCCAAACACATCCAATATGTCATTGAGAACATACGCTTCCACCTGGACCCAGCAAAACTCTTCTCACAAGAGTCCAATAACAATGAATTGCAGAACAAATTCAATTCCTTCCTTACACAAAACCTTCTTACATACTTGCACATGGGAGGGGACCTTCAAGGATTTGATGAATTCAATGTAAGTCTGAGCCAGCTTGTATTACATTTGAATGATGTGACATTGCTTGTGATAGGATCATGATGTAGTTGGACTCCAACAAGAAAGTGCAGCAATATGTTGGGGGATCCATCAATGGTTGCTCCATCGATCTATGTCTCTCCTCTTCCCACCCAAATCATCTCTTTATAAGCTGTATGGCCACCTTTCTGAACCTGTTCAGAGCTTCAGTATTTCTGGCGAGATTTCCAACCACTTGATTCCATTGAGCAAGGCTTTGCTTAATACCCAAAACCTTATGGAGGCAAAATTAGATGGACTGCCAAAGGATAACAAGCAGGGCAGTGGAGTGATCAATTATGAAGCTGAATTCCAAGAATTGGATGTCCGTAATGGTATTGTGACATGTGCAGCCCTCTCAAGAGATGGTCGATATGTTGCACTTGGGCTTGGTAGTGGTGTTATTGAGATTGCTGATATTGATGATCAGTGTACAATCTCTCAGTTCCAGAATCACCCACCCAATCCACCAGCATGGATTGAGTTTATCCATGATGGTCATTGTATTGCTACTGAGGATGTTGATGGGAACATCAGTATCTATGGCCATGGTGTGCCTCCTCTGAAACTTGGCACTCTCCCCACAGGTGCCTATCCTGCTGTGACTGCAGTCTCAGCTAGTGGATTCTTTATTGTACGAGTTCTACGGGATCCTGGAAAGCCTTGGTACAATAACATGACATGTCTACACATTTTAGGTGACCTGCACATTCAGTCCCTTGCCTCTCCTTCCAACTCTTCCTTTCCATCCTCCCAATCCAATTCCAAGCTAGCCTTTCCTGAGCGTCACACAATTGCATTTTCTCCAGGGGCACAATACATTGCAGCCTTTGATGGACACAGTGCTTTCACCTGGTCAACGGAATCGTGTGAGTTTATTGCACATTATGATGTACAAGGAGATGATTCTTGGATTATAAATCCTGGCATGGCCCCTACTTGCCCATATGACATCCCTCAACCAGTATCTACTTGTCCCACTCTTCCATTGGCAGGTGAAACAGTCTATGCACATCATTCCTGGGTGGATGCAGGGCTTGACTCAGACAAGTCTTGGATCAAGCATCCATTTTTCCACCACTTGCCGCACCAGGAAAGGGGCTATTCATTTGCTGCAGGAAGGGCCCCACTAGTCCATGATTCCCATTCCTGGCTAAGAGTATGGTTCAATGGTGGCCCACAACTTGCTGTCCCAGATAGGTATCGCCCAGTTTCTGTCAAGGCAAACAGTGCCCATGGCATAGAACCCTGGTATGGTGATCGAGTGATCAATCATATCAATCACTTCTACCATCCTCAGTCCAGCAAGGATGGTACTCGATTTCTGCTCCAGGGTAAGATGAAAGCTCCCATTGTTGTTGATATGGGCCAAGCTGCTTGGTACCCAAGCACTGTGCTTGATTATGATTTCTCAGCCTAGACATTATTCTCCTTGCAGGAAATTTCTTCTCCATGACACACAAGACAATTCTACTTCTGAACCATCTCTAATATTGATTATTTTAGTGTTTCACTTTGTACAGGATCTCACATTCACCATCTCCTGTACACTTTAACTTGACAATTGTTCAAGTGTGATCTCAACAATGACCTTCTAGTGTCTGCATGTCCTGATTAAAACACAAGAATTATTGTGGAAAGGAACAAGCTAACTGAAAGAAGATCCTTCCCTCAAATTGGGTGGTTGTCATATCCATGTATCCATAGTACCCTTCCAGCCCTTCCATCACCACTCTGGGCCTCTCAATCCTCTGTACCTACCCTCCATACTTTGGGGGTCCAAAACTATGTAGGTGGCATAGGTAATATATTAAATTAGAGGGGTGGTGAAGGTGATTACAGGAATGGAGGTATGGAGGATAGTACAGAGGATAGTATTATGGCTCCTAGTGGATTGGATCAGAATCCACAGATTTTAGAGGTTTGAAACAACATCTGTATCCAAGCAGTTAGAAATCTGCAGATATGCAGATCAACTGCAGATTGTAGATCTATTGGTGGAGAACTGATGGAAATATGGGGAAAATGGTGGAAAACTTGGAGGTCAAATGCCTAATTTGGAAATAACAGGCCTGGGTGGTCAAATACGCAGATAATCCACCCATCTGCAGATTAGAAACTGCAGATATTATCCTCCAAAAGCCAAATCCACATCCATGGATTGTTGGATAAACCTGTGGATATCCAAGGGTTATCTGATCCATGAGGAGCCCTAGATAGTATGGACTGGAAGGGAATGGAAGGGAATGGAGGGTAGTATTGATACATGGATTTGACACTTACCCACAATGCCATCACCTCACCAGAGCTGTTAGAAGGGGAGGATTTGGATGGTTCCAGAAGAAGAATAGGAGATAAGCATGAAGACCTTGGCCTCAGCAACTTGGAAGGGAGTGCTTACTCTTTGTCTAAAGGGGTCCTTAATTTCAGGGCTGACGAAGTAAGTCTTGAGGTGTGAACTAGGACCAAATGGTGAACTGAACCATACTGAAACTGAACCCGTGGTTCAGTTCTGGTTCTCTAAGTTGGGAGGATATTATGAACTGGTTCGAACTGAACCAAACCACAGAACCATTGAAGGATTGTAGCCTCAACCATGATGTTGAAAGATATTGTGCATACATTCATCAAGTTTTGTTCATGGCTTGTCAGGGCACACCCCACCTGACCCCACGCTGCACCGCCCTACTCCGCTCCCCCCCCTATCACTCCCCGTTTCCCCTTTTCCCTTTTCTTCTTTCTTTCTATTTCTGTTCCACAGTCGACTTCCCTTTCTCTATGTATCACTGCACACCTAACCCCGCTCCCCCGATCGCCACACCTGCTGCGCGCATTCCCACTCACAGAGCGGCACACCTCCGGGATCTCCTGCAGAGATACCCATGGAAGTGTGGCTGTGTGTGGAGGTGACGTGGCTCCTCCCACGTGACCCCAACCGCATGTATATAATAGTGCCTGGGGTGGGAATAGAAGAAGCCGCCTTCTTCTCAACTTCCCACTTCAGACTAAGTGGTTGGGGACGCTCACCCCACAATGGGACCACCGCTATGCATAGCTGACATCTGTCCCATTGAGTCCCTCATGCTGGGACCTCGCTGCTTTCAGAGCTGTCCCTGACAGCAGAAGAAGGCTTTAACCTCATTTCCCCCGCCTCCCCCATCTCCCCTGCTATGGTGACTGAAGAGCAGTATGACGAGCTGCCATCCTGATTCCAAGAGCTCCAGGCCATCGTAGAGAGCCAAGACCAGAACCAACCCCCAGCTGCGCCCGCACCGGCACCCACACCCACCCCCAGACCCAAACCGCCTAAAGTTGCCCCCCCCCACCCCCTTCTCTGGAGCAACTGAAGACCTTGACTGCTTCAAGGCTGAATGTGGCATCTACTTCCATGTTCGGGTGGCAGAGTTTCCTGGTGCCCTCTCCCAGATCCTCTTTGTCCTGTCTTACATGAAGGGAGGGACTGCAGGAGCATGGGCGATGCAGCATACCATTGTGCTGCTGACAACAGGCTCCCCCGGGCTTACCATGGACAAGTTCAACATGGAGCTCGATGCCATGTTCCAAGACCCGAACTGCAAAGCCACAGCCAGGCAGAAGCTGGCCACCTTGCGACAAGGCACCGACTCTGTGGACAAGGTCATCCAAGAGTTCGAGATCCTCGGCCCCACCTTGTGGCTAGGAGACGTAGGGATAGTAGACCGCTTTGAACAGGCGATCAACTCCCAACTCCAAGAAAGCATCTACCGCCTCCGCCCCATGCCAACTACCTGGGCCAAGTGGAAATGCGAGGCCACCTTCCTTGACGACCAGTGGTGACACTTCCAGGCAACCCAGCCCCACTTGCCCCCAGTCAGGCCCCAGTTCCCACCTGCAAGACTCCCACTCCCTACCACCTTCCTGCAAGCCCACTCAGCCCCTGCACTGCCACGCCCCCAACCCACTGCTGCACTGCAGCCTCCTGCAGCCCACCCTGCAGTGGGGGGAGGGCTGCAACCTATGGACCTCGACTGCTTGAGGATAGACCAAAGACAAAACGGCCTCTGCTACAATTGCAACACACCAGGGCACATCGTGCAGGACTGCCCACAGCCAAAAACCCACCAAGCCAGATGGATGCACCCAGAGGACCTCAGGGCACTCATGGAGGGGCTGAGAAGGCAACTGGTGGATGAGCCAGGGATGGAGACGGATGGAGGAGAAGTGCAGGAGGTAGAAGCCCAAGAGGATTTTCAGGAAGGCATCCGGTGAGGGATGCACCCTGGCCACCTGTAGGCAATAGTACTAGCTCATGTAGATACCGTGATGTGCCTAAGCCAGTGCCGACGTCCAAATTCCACCAAGTCATCGCCAAGAAAAAGAGGAAAACTGTGTCCTCAATCAGTAAGGACAGAGAAACACCAAGTGCAGCGCCGGAAGTAGTGGTCCCGCCACCTGCCATCTACGTGCTGTCCAAGCAACCCCCCAGATCCCTCAACCTAGCTGTAAAGCTGACTGTGTTATGGAAATGGGATTTTCCCATTTTTAGCCTCTTATGGGCTCTATGCAGTATAATATCACGTGACATGTAAATAATAACAACTTAACCAACTATTATCACCCAAAACACCCGATGTCCATGTTATTGTAAACCCCACTGTTACAACATCTGTTACATTAATTGTAACATCTTCTCAATGTCACGGCCCCCTCCTGCACCCAGATGCTATAGAAATGGGCCAATTAGGCCCCATTTTTATAACAGCCCTGACCTCCCTCGCCACTGTCTCTGTGTCGGCCCTCCTGGACTCAGGGGCCACTGGGAACTTCATAAGCCCCGAGTTTGTCAGAAAACACCGGCTTGAGACGACCCTGCTCCCCCAACCCATTCCTGTCCGCAACGTTGATGGGACCCCAAACAAGAATGGGGCCATAACTGAGGAACTAGAGGCCTGTCAGGGGACAGACCCTGGGTCTCCATGACCCCTCTCTCTATAGCCCACAGCCTAGTCTCAAGGCACAACTACTGTGGGTAAGAAAGTGAGAAGAAGGTTAACTTCTCACTTTCCCACAGTGGCCCCAATATGGCGAAAACTTCCGGGGATACCCGGAAGTCACATGAAGGTAGGATCCGGGGACCGGAGCATGCAGTGCAGGAAGCGCGCGCGGGAAGTGGAGTGGGTCCGGATGCGGGTCCGGGTCCGGGCTAAGTCAGGGTATGTGCCCTGACAAGGCCCTCCTGACATTCGGACGGCACACGGAGCGAGCCCACTTTGCCATCGCCAACCTCGGGCATGTCATATCCATGCATACCCGATCCCGAACTGACTCCCGGACCTCCATCTTCACCACCTCCGGAGTCCTACCCTATCTCCATCTGCTCCGATACTCACCTTGGACCGAACACCACACCTCTCACCACCCTCCTCCTACTCCTCCTCTCACTCCTCCTCTTACTCCTCATGACACCTCCACCCTTCCGTCACTCTCCTACCCTTCTCCCATCTGCTCCGATACTCACCTTCGGACCTGACACCTTTCCTCTCCTCCACTCCTCTCCCCTTTCCTCTCTCCTCTCTCTTCCCTCTGGCCCTCTTCTGCCGACCCTCCACCAAGTTACGACCTTCCGCTGCTGTCCCGTACCCCGTACTTGGGCACCGCTCGTACCTTCGCTCCGAGACTCCGTCATAGTTCCTACCTCGGACTTTGACTCCACCTTGGCTTTAGTCCATTGCATTGGTGACCTCATACTACGTAAACACCATTGTCAATATTCCTTGGACTTTCAACCCCACCTCCGTAACCTCCGTAACCTCCGAGCTCCATGGATCATCTTCGGCACTTTCGCTGCTTGTAATGTATCTTCCGCGTTTTCCCCTCATCC